CATCCTCCTCAGACAGCGCCTAAGGTCCTGGGCGGAGGCCGTGAAGGAGAGCCCTCTCTGGGCTGGGCTGGGCAGTTGGCAGGGCACGGGGCCACAGCGGCCAGCGAGGAGAGGGGCCTGGCCTTTGTGGTCTCTTTCAGAGGCAGCTGCGGCAAGGAGAGCGAGCGGACGGAGAGCCCCTGAAGGGCTGGAGGGGGCACCAGGAAGTGGCTCCTTGCTGCCAGGTGGGGGGGGCACAGCAGCTCCTCCAAGAGCAGCACTCTGGGCACCAGGGCACAGCAGCCCCGGGGCAACCAGGGGCCCTAAAGGAGGGGAAGGCCCTTCCTCTCTTCCTCCAGCCCAGGGAGCCCAGGGACTTCTCTGCACAGAACCCACCTTAAAAAAGGCGCGGATGGCCGGTAGGTGCCCAGCACACGCTTCTTGCTGCGAGTCCGAGACTTTCTCTCCAACCTAGTGCCAAGAGGGAGCCGGGGGTCATCCCCTTCTCGAAGACCCTTGCAGCAGCCGCACCGCTTAAGACGAGGTAGACCTTCCAGGAGCCCCCGGTCGTCCTTTCGGCAATGAGGGTAGAGCTGTTCCCCCACTAAGATCGGCGCGGCTGCCCCGGCTGCCAGACCCTCCTCCTCCTCCAAAGCAGGTAGCAAACAGTTTGGAGATCAGGCACCGGATCCCCACTCTGGATACGCCAGAGCTGCGGGAGCTCCCTCTGCCTGCACTGCCGCATCCCGATTCTGAGACCCCCAGGCCGCTCTCGGGCTCGCCTTCTGGAGGAAGAGAGACTGGGGCCGGGCAGTGGAAGAGAGGAGCCTTCACTCAGATCTAGCTTCAGGGCCGGGGCCGGGGCCGGGGTTAGCCCTCCATCCTCCATCCGGAGGTTGTAGGGACTGCACCTGAACAGGCTCCTCTGGGCCTCTTCCAAAGAGAAGCCCTGCGCTCTCGGCCACGTGAAAATGCACCGCTGGCCCCCCGTCCCAGGATTTCAGGGACTCATTTCCGCAAAGGGGCGGCGTTGGCAGAAGCTCCAGCCTCCAGCATCTTGCCTCCCTTCCCTCCGGCTGCTGCCCCAGTGAGTCCAGCATCGTCTGGAGTCGGGAGTCACAAACTAATCAATGCCCTCGCTGGGCAAGCCCTTGGGGGGCTCCTCCAGACCCCCGGACGGCATGCGCTCTGCTCCCGCCCTGCCAATGACTGGCCCACCCCGAGGTTTATTCTTCCACTGGGCGGTGGGCAGGAAAAGGCAGTGCCGGGCCACATGCCCCCCGGCCACTCAGCTGTGCGAGGCATCGCCTCTGTCCTGCTGGAGCTGCAACCCCACGAAGGGGGGCGCGGTGACCTCCTGGCCCCAGCTCTCCACAGCTCACCCCCCCAGGCAAGGCATCCCCACCCCAACGGACACCCTGCCTCTCTACCAGCTCAAGGGGGCAAACGCTAAAGCAAAACAGATCACAATAGGCAGAGACTATCGCTCAAAATGGCCAAGGCGAAAGAGGAAGGTCTGGATGCTTTCCCTGGCACTGGGAGGCGGGCGGCTGAGCACCGCCCTGAGGCTGGGTGATCCTGGTGTGGACTAGCCCGGGAGAGCCAGGCTGAGCTCCCCCTCAGCCCAGGGAAGCCCTCGGAGGCACGTCTCTCTCTCTCTCTCAGCCCAACACACCCCACAGGGCTGCTGCCTCCCCAGAGAAGGGGTGGTGGCAGGGGCTAGCGAGCAGCTCTTCCAGAGGAGGAAGGTGCAAAAGAGGGGGGCCCTGGAGAGCTTCTGCAACCAGGAGCTCCACCTTGGCAGAGGGTGGCCTGCAACGCCTTGGGGGGGCGGAGAGCAGGACAAATACAGTAGCTGGATCTGACTCGTGTGGCCACCGCTTTCCAGCCAGCAGGTTGCAAGCCACCCCACACCTCTGCCCCCCAGATGCACACCCAGGTCCCATTCCTGCACGCTCACCCAATGGATCAGGACAATCCGTGGCGTCCCTGCAGCAGACTCAGACAGGCGGCACAACCCATACATGATGCGCCCACTTTGGAAGCGCTTGGCGAGTTCATCTGGACCCCCACCTGCAGAGGGAGGCTGGGTTAGGCAGACGGGGCTCCTGAGTGCCATACCCCTCGCCCACCAAATCCTGTTCCACCCCGCCCTTCACAACACCTGAACCTCTTTCCCAGGAAGTCGCCCCGTTTGTCTCTGCCACAGATGCCCCCTTCTCCCTCCTGGGAGCATCAACCCGGCAGCGGGAGCCACGGAAGGCGAGAGGAAGCAGGGTGGGGAGGAGAGGGCAGAGCAGAGCCCTGTCCTGCCTCGACTGGAGGCAAATCAGGCTGAGAAGACCCTGTCTGCCCCGCGCCCCATATCTCTGGGGCATCCCAGGCCCCACTACAGCAGACAGAGGAAGAGAAACAGTGCGGCCAGGCTTCCCATCTTACCTCCTGAGTCAAGCAGCTTCAGCTCGTTGGACTTTTCATAGGCAAAGAGGGCCCTGGATGGCAAAGAGAGAGGGGCCAGCATTAGGAGCCAAGCATGGGGGAGGGTATCCAGGCCAGGCCCCCCCATCTCCTTGCAGGGAAAGGCCTCATCTTCCACTGTGGCCCTCAACAGGAGAATCAGCGGCAGCCCACTTCTCAGTGGGTGCCTTGGCTTGAAAGTGGCCCCCACTCTCCCTCCCCCCTCCTGCGGCCCCCTTTTTTCTGGCCTCTGAAGGGTAAAGTCTGTTGCTCTGTTGGAGAACTTCAGGGGACCCAGTTAAGGCACTGTGCGTTTTGGCTTCCTTTTCTCACAGGCTGCCCGGCCACGGCTGCCTTCTCTAAGTGCCCATCTGCTGCAAAACGTGCCAGAGTCTGGGTGTTCCTGGCCCACCTGCAGAGAATGTGTGGGGCCCAGCGCCCCACAGGCAGCCCATTCCCCACCCTTGCTGTCAGTCTGGGCGCCAGATGGCACCAGCCAGGAAGACCCCACAGCCCCACCTTGATTCGCTGAGCAGGCGTCCCCACTGCCCCTCCTCTTTCAAGGCCAGACAAAGGGAAGAGAGGCTCCCGTGGGGCCAGAAGAACGGCTGCCCAGGGCCAGGCCCTGAGGGTGGCAGGCCGGAAGTCCTTTGCCTTCACCCTGATACGGATTTTCCTGGCAGACACCTCTGTCCTTCTGGAACTATTCTGGAGCCCAAGGAAAGGCATCAGAGAAGCTTCAGGGGTTCTGTCTAGCTTTAGGGGCAGAAGAGGGCCACCATCTTTGCCCCTACTGGGTTGGTTGCCCTTGGAAACAAGATGCCTGCCAAGCTGGGCCCCTTGGGCAGGTGGAACCCCCCCGCAGTTGCTTCCACCCCATCTCTTCTTCTGAATGGGAGGAAGCGCATCCGCTCTCAGACAACGGAGGGCAAAGGACCGGCATGGGGGGATCCGAGGGGAGGGGCCCTACCGGCAGACGTGGGGCCAAGCCCTCCCCCGGCCCCTCGGGAGGAGGCAATTCCCCGCTTTGTCCCCGCCTGTGGCTCATGCTGTGGTTCCAGCAGCCCAAGCGTGGGACGGCCTCCCTTCCGGGGATCCAGGTGGGGCGCTGCTGCTGGCACCCGATTAAAGCACAGCTGGCTCCTTCCCTTCCTTCTGGGGAAGCCAGGCCCCAGCCCCCCCCCCCCCCCCCCCCCCC